TTCCACTAATAGATATTACATTTATGATAATTTATATAAAAATTATAAAATTTAAGATAATAAAAATTCGTCTAATTAATTTATATATAAAAATTATAAAGAATATAGAGTTTATAAAGATTATAAAAATTATAAAAATTATAGTAATTATAAAAATTATGGGAATTATGAAAATTATGGAAATTGTAGAAATTTCCAATCGTAACATCAGTCTTGGTGATCATTTGGAAAGATCATTTTTTGTTGTTTATTTTTCTTTCATTTTTATTATTTTGTAATTCATTTCTTTCTCCAGATCAGTTTTTGGTTAGTTATACTGGTTGGTTGAATCTATCGATCCGAGATTGGACACTTTTCGCAACTGTGTCTGATCTCGTGGAGTTTCTTCTGGACTCATTAGTTTGTTCTCGACAGTTTCTGGTTGGTGATTGTCACTGGTCGATACCGTCATTTTTTGTTTGTTTCGGGAGTGGGTGGACAGTGTACTTTTCGTGAGGAAGCGTTCATCTCACTTTCTTTAATTCAGAATTTCTGGAGGTTTCGAATGTTTCTGACCACGTAATATTAACTATGTCATCATCAGTATTCGTGTTTTTGATTTTTCTTATTTTTAATTTTTTTATTTCTGAATTTTCTTCATTTGTATCCTGGAGCGGTTCCAGAAGTGATCGATGGATTAGAGTTACAGTTTTTCGGTCCATATTTGTCATTCTTTTTGACTGAATTCTTCTTCTTTCTTCTTCTAATTCGGTCATAGTAATGGTGATGATTGATTCATCATTATTTTGGATATCCTCTGCTTGTTCTGAACAGTGATTTTTATTCTTTTCTTCTTTCCAAATATTACTTTGATTGTTGATGAATAATTCATCTTCTTCATTAAGATCAATAATGACTTTTTCTTGATGATCTGTGCATAATTCACAATTATTATGATTTAAATGTAATCTGTTTTTACACCAATGACAGTCACATTTAATCAAATTGTATAGTCAGTTTTGGAATTTATCTTCCATATGATTTTTAAAAGTGATAATTTTTCTAACTTCTATGCAATCATTGTATCTATAACCAAGATGAGGCGAAGTTTTCCAATATTTGGTGAAGCATATATGTGGTAATCGAGTTTCTTGTTCTCTATAAGTCTTTCTTGGATAATAAGACTTAAGACGATGGTATTCTTGAATTGAGATAAGTGTAGACATTGTTGTTTTTGTTGATTATAATTATTTATTGTATTGTGAGTTGTGATTCTTGTTCCAAATGGCAATGTAAGGTTTAATCAATTCTGTTAGCTTAGTTTATTGACTTTTTGGTCAGTTATTGATTAATTTTGAATTACAATTATAGGTTCTAATCTATTGTTTTCTTTGTAGAATTTTAAGTGATCTCCATTATATGAGTTCTTAAGAAGCTTTCTATCCATAATTCTAAGTTGATAAGTATCTTTGTCGAATGTTTGATGTATGTAATATGGATCTTTTCATTTTTGCGAAAATTTTTCATAATGCCAATGCTGCATTTTCATCCTCTTCATTAAGATTTTATTGCTGATAAAGAACTTTTCTGGTTGTTTATCTTGTTGGTAAGATTCTTTTTGTTTTTGTTGAGATTTTTGAACATTTTGTTTGGCTAATGTTCTATCAATTTCTAATTTATCTATTATAGTGCAAGCTCTCTTGATTACTTCATTTACTGTTGTTTCTTGTCCATCTTCCAATGGTTGGAATTTGAAATCAATTGGTGTTTTAGCTTGTCTTCCATAAGTGAGATAAAATGGTGTGAACTTTGTTGCGCTTTGTTGCATTGTTCTATATGCAAATAATACTGATGGTAAGTAAAAATCCCATTCATTTTGATGTAATTGAACAAATTTGGTGATAGATTCACATAATGTTCTATTAAGTCTTTCTACAAGTCCATTTGTTTATGGATGATATGGTGTTGAGAGGTGGTGTTTAATTTGATAATTTTGGCATAATATTCTAATTATTTTATTTGTAAATATAGTGCCTCAGTCTGAAATAATTTCTTTTGGAAAACTATGTCAACAAATAATATCTTCATATAAGAATAGTATTATAGTTATAGCAGCAGCATCTGATATTGTTCTTGCTTCAGCCCATTTGGTTCCATAATCAATAATGACTACTATATATCTATTATTATTTTTGGTAAGTGGTAGAGGTTCAATTAAATCAATTCCAATCTTTTCAAATAGTAGTTTGATTTCAATTGGGTGTAATGGATTGTTCTTTTTTATTTTGCTTTTTCATTGACAAACATTACAAGCTTTAATATAATTTTCAATGTTTAGGTACATTTTAGACCAATAATAATTTTGAGAAATTTGATTATAAGTTGCTTTTATTCCAAAATGTCCAATTATTGCAATAGAATATTCATTGACCAATACTTCTTTTACTTTCATAGGTCTAATTACTTTGAGTGATATATCAGAATCTTTTTGATTTCTTCTATAAAGTGTTTTATTTTTAATAAGGTAATGAGTTACCTTATTTTTCAATTTCTTTTGTTCTTATACTGATGAGTTTTCTGGTAATTGTAGTGTATTTAAATAATTAACAAGTTGATAATATTCAATTAAGTCCATTGTAACAGGTATAGGTTGTCCAAAATAAGTTATTAAGTTGTGTATTAGCATTGGTTTGTTTTTGAATTGATTAAGTTGTTATTGATCTAGGTTGATTCTTTTTGGAAGTGACGTGAAAGCAGATCAACATTTGAATGTAAGCATCCTTTACGATGTTCTATATTATATGTGTATTCTCGCAAAGTCATGACCCATCTTGCTAGTTTACCAGATAAATTTGGAGTATTGAATAAATCTTTTAAAGCACTATGATCAGTAATTATAGTAAATGGAATATTGGATTGAAGATATGGTCTAAAATGTTCTACTGTCCATTTTACTGCTAGGCATTCTAATTTAGTTGCATGATAATTAACTTCACATTGATCTGTTCTTCTACTAGCATAAGCGACTACATGTTCTTTGTTATTATCATCTTTTTGCGCTAATACTGTTCCAAGTTCAAAGCTAGAAACATCAATGTATAGTAAAAATGATTTGTTAAAGTCTGAATATATTAATATTGGTGAAGATATCAAGTATTATTTAAGTTCTTCAAATGCTTTTTGACATTCTTCAGTCCAACTAAATGATTATTCTTTTCTCATTAGATGATGAAGTGGTTTGGCTATTTGTGCAAAGTCTTTTACAAATCTTCGATAATAAGAAGCAAGGCCAAGAAAACCTCTTAATACAGTTAAATTATGTGATATTGGAAAGTTTTTAACAGCAGTTATTTTTGTTGGATCTGGTTTGATTCCATCTTTACTAATTATATGTCCAAGAAATGCCAAAGAAGTTTTTTCAAAGTGACATTTGTTGGGTTATAATTTTAATTCACTTTGTCTTAATTTGTCGAAGACAATTCTCAAATGAAGTAAGTGATCTTTAAATGTTGTTAAAAATACATTTGTGTCATCTAAATATATGACCACAAATTTGTTTAACTAATTTTTGAATACTTTGTTCATTAGTCATTGAAAAGTTGCTGGTGCATTTATAAGTTCAAATGGCATAATATTGAACTTATATAAGTCTTCAGTAGTGATGAAAGCTATTTTTGGTCTATCTTTTGGTTTGATTTCAACTTGCCAATAACCAGATGCTAAATCTAATGTTGAAAAGTATTTAGCTTTTCCAAGTGTGTCTAATAAGTCATCAATTCTTGGTAATAGAAATTGATTTTTAGTGGTGACTTTGTTTAGTTGTCGATAGTCTACACAAAATCTAAATTTTCCTTCTTTCTTCTTTATTACTACAACAGGTGCAGTTCAAGAGCTATCAAAAGATTTGATAATACCTTGTCTAAGCATTTTGTTAATTTCATCTTGAATGATTTCTTTTTCCAATAGTGATCTTCTATAATATAATTTGAGTGCTATTGGTTTGATATCTTCAAAATTGATTTCATGTTGGATTATATCAGTCTTTTCAGGTATTTCAGTATTAAATAGATCTTGGTATTCAGCTAATAATTCATCTATTTGTTGTTGTTGTTTTTTGGTAAGATCAGTTTCTTCAACATTTGTTGATTGAAATAATGGTTCTGGTATTAATTCCATTTGTCGATATAATTCTTCATCTTCAATACAATATAGACAATTTTCATTATTATCTTCATCATTTG